CGACAAGTTAGTTCTATTAGCAGTATTCGCAATGATTTAATACTTGATTCTTAATACTGGTCTTAGCCAGCATCGACGTCAGCAAATAAATATTCCATTCCGTAGAATCGACGGGAATTCAGTCAATCATCGCGCACTTACTTATGCTAGCGTATATTTCGTAATAAAATAATAATAATGAGACTATAATAATGAAACTTCGTATATATCGCAGACGTAACAACTATAGTTTTTGTCTGAAGACTGGGCGCCGCGCTATTTGGCGCTGACTGGTATTTACTAGATTGCAAATTGGGGCGGAAAAGCTTCCAGCTTGTTCAGGACGATTCAGGACATGCTCTAGGCAGCTTCTGATTACGGCTCAGATGCATTTCATATTCCTGAATGGTAAGAATCGATAAGATCCAGATCGACCTCGTTGCGTATTCCTAAAATGTGCTATACTACAGTCGAATCAACGAATCTTCGCGAGTAACTTGTGGGGGCAAAATTTGCGAGAGATTAAACAAAAAATAGAAATCTCCATGCCCGGAGAATTCATTTAAAGCGGAAATGCCAAGTAAAAAACCGAAACAAATAAAGATTTTATTCTTATTTATATCCCAACTGAAACTTAATTCGCGAAACTCTTCTCGACATAAAATACATCTCTATTACGAGGCGTTGTAAATTTTCTAGCAACAAATTCTAAAAAATGTACATGAATCGAGGAGGTAATCACTCAGAAAATAGGTATACACCTGGACTTTTAACATCAAGACGTCACCGGACTTTGACGGACTTCCTTGGACTTCATTGGACTTTACTGGAATTTTAGGAATTCATTGGACTTTAATACGTGTCATTTTAATTACATCTTCGAAATTCAAATTATGTGGTAAGATTAATAATAATTCAAAGAACGATCATATAGAAGAAATTAATCTGGCTTATCCATACGAAGTCATTGACAATGACTAATTAGAATATACATAATACAATGACCGGATTGCGAAGAGAGACATTGCAATAACACATACTAATAGCGTAATTGCTAGGTGTTTCTCATTATAAAACTATTTTGAAAAATGTGCAAGTCTTCCTATATGTAACACTTATATACTTATGAATCGTGAAAGGTTCCGATTATCGTATTTCTGTCATTCACTGGATTATTTATGTATATTCACAGTATGACTACGAGATCTCATTCCATTTCATTATATAGTATGTGAATTATACAATATAATGTACTTATATAATATAATAATTAATATAGCAAAGCAACGGGGGAAAAGTTGCTTCGAAAGTATATTATTATTCTTCATATTCAAATACTTCGCAAAAATGTAATTTGAACATATTGTTAGTCGAAGTTTAATAAGACTATGCATCAATATGTATATGTAGGAAGGCATAAATTTTACAATTTTTTATCAATTTACAGTTGTATAAATAAATGTAAAAGTTCTTTCTCTTTGTTTATCAACAATGAATCCGCATTGTCGCATCCTTTATAAATGCAAATTCTGCATAAACATATATTATTTATAATATAATTATACCAACATTTATACTAATTGTTCTAGATATGTTATCAATCATTAGAAATTATGTGAAGCGATCCATATATAAATGTCACGTAAATGAGATAGATATAATATATGTATCTCTTATTCTATATAACTGTCAAAAATTCTGAGTTCGATTTAATTAGGCAGCAATTATTTATCGGTGGTAATCTAAATGAGAATATTGTATGTGTGTGTGTGTGCGTGTGTGTGGTCTTAAATTTCCATAATTGACATTGCTCGTAACAAAACTATGGCTTTAGATTATTATCTTGCGTTGCTGCTTTTGTCCCGTATTGCAGAAATGTGAAGAATAATGCAATTGTTAGTGCATTCTTTTAAAGAAAAATTAGTTTTCTATCAGTTAAAAGAAAGAGAAAACATTTTTTAAAAATCACATTGTGCATGTATACTTTTTGTACTTGTACGGATATTAACTATCAATTTTCTTAAAAATTTTGCAAACATAATGTGTAATATGATTGTTAAGACACAAATAAAATATATCTTTCTCTCAAATATTATAAAAGTCTCTCACAAATTCACATCCATCCGATTTAACATATATGTTTTGTTTCAACATTAATTAACATCGTAATCGTAATCTTATAATCTTTGGCTTTTTAATATTATTTTAATATGAAAAATTGAAAGTAAAAAAATTTAAGTAAGGAAATTTATAATTAAATGTAAAACAATTTTTGAATCATTATTTTGGCCAACTATGTACATGACCGACACAGTCTTTCCTGAGATAGTTCTATTAGCAGCGATTCGACACTTGATTCTTAATGCTGATCTTATCCATCACATCAGCAAATAAATATTCCATTCCGTGAAATCGACGGGAATTCAGTCAATCATTGCGCACTTAATTATGTCAGCTTTTCGCAACAAAATAAAAATGAGACTTATACATCGCAAACGTAGCAATTAGCTTTTGTCTGAAGATTGGGCGCGGTGGTATTTGACGCTGGCTTATCGGTATTTACTGTATTGCAAACTGGGGCGGAAATAGTTTCCGGCCTGTTCAGGATGATTATACCACGTGCTAGAGCACGTCTAGGCAGCTTCTGGTCGCGGCCCAGATGCATTTCATATTCCTGAACGGAAGAATCGACAAGATCCAGTCAGTCGCGTTACGTACTCGCAAATGTGCTCTACTACAGCCGGATCAACAAATCTTTGCGAATAATATAAGTTGTGGGAGCGAAATTTGCGAGAGATTAAACAAAAAATAGAACCTTATGTAATAGAAAATTACACGGAAAGAACGATTTTGTTGAAAGGTCTAAAAATTTTGCTGAATATAGATCCGAAGATTAATTCTTGTTGAATCATCAAAAAATTTTGTTGGGATATTAAAAATAATAATAAGTATTGCTATAAAGTTTTGACTTTGCAACAAAATGTTTTTTATTATTGAACAAAAATTATTTTCAGATCTCTGGATCCAGCAAACTTGTTCGTTCCGTGTAGAAAAATAGAAACTTGTCTATTATATATTCCTGGGAAATCAGTATATTTGAGACAAAAGTATGCCAAGTAAGAAGCCGACATAAAAATCTTATTTCCATTTATCCCAACTGAAACTTAATTCGCGAAACTCTTCTCGACGTAAAATACATCTCTATTACGAAGCGCCATAAATTTTCTAGTAAAAGATTCAAAATATGTACGTGAATTCTAAAAGAGTTACTAGTATAGCGACAAATTTTAATTTATGCATGGAAGAACGATTTTGCTGGAAGATCTAAAAATTTTACTAAATACAGATTTGAAAATAATTTTATTGAACTACTAAATAATTTTGTTGAAAATTAAAAGAGATAAGCATTGCTTTAAAACGTTTTGATATTCCAGCTGTTCTAGTAATCAGTTTTTGAATTATTTTGATGTGATCCAACAAAATTATTTTCAGATCTGTAACCAGACAAATTTTTAGTAAACTTTTCAGTAAAATCATTCTTTCCGTATGCCTTTAATTGGTATTATACTACAGGCAATAGGTATATTGTGCACTAATTGCAATTATCTATAAAAATTGAAACGATTAAAACAAAGCGATCTTACGTACGGTGTAACGATCGCGTACAGATGTAGACGACGCACGTGTCTAATTATTGCCATTATTATCCGGCTAATTTGAGTTCGATCGCGTGGTAACGGCCACTTTGAGCGGCGAGCTTGCAAGCGTTTGCCGTGCTATCCTATGCAAGTCAAGGACGGCTGATCGTTACGTAGGTAGAGAATAATGGGCGGACGAGCATCATCGAGGCGG